TTTCATTACACCAAATACACCAAATAATGTTCTTTTTAGCAGCATCATATGACCCCTTTCATTAAAAAAAACATTTTAAAATTCTATATTATAATTGTTTTAGCTATTTTAAATTGTAGCAAGAAAAGGCTTTGAAAGAAGAACATAACGTTTTTTTAAATTACATAGAAAATATCCATATTTATTTATTTATTTTAACTTAAATAGTAAAAAGAAAAGGTTTTGAAGAAGAACATGACATAATTTATCATATATATACAGTATATATATATATATATATTTATATATATAAAGAGGTTAGGATAGTGTAGTGAAAAATTAAAAATATTTTGAAAAATTAATAATTTTGTAAAAAATGAACCCTGCCATGGCCATGTAAAACTGAACACTATAAAAAACTATAAAAATAAACAAGTTTGTCTGCTTAAAAAAAGTTGTCTGTCTGCTAATCAATTTCATTTATTTACATTATATTGCTTGTCAAATGTATTTATTTTCTTATTTATATTTAAATAATTTAGGTCCGTATTATATGTGTCACCTGTATTACAATTCATAATTGTCCTCTTGAAGTGATGTGGTTTGCACCCCCTCGTTGTGTCTGTGCCCTCCGCTGCCGGCGTGAAATATTAATCACTTTGCTCTTTCTCTTTTCTCTTCTCTGCCAACAGCTGCCTCTGTATGTGCAAACACACGGAGTGTGGTATACAGGCACATCACACACGGCTGCTGCTCTGATGACAGACACCAAACTCAGGTAAGGCTCCATTTACACTTACTTTTGACTAAGTTGACCTTAAGTTTTCGGAGCTGAAGTAAACCATAGAACACGGCGCTGGCGGGGTTTTTATGATAAGATCTGTGCTCTGACAGAGGATGTGAGGTACGACAGGTATCACAATACGATACATGATTGAAAACGAACCCGATGTGCTAAAGTGCGGATCTTTTTGTAGACGTTCTGTATTGTTAAAAGATGATTCATGTTTATTTATATGTATGTTTTATAAATTGCATATTGTTTTGTAATTATTATTGAGAGTAGTTTTAGTTGTACTTTAAATCATTTGAATATTTGCACTATTCAAATTCTTTTGTTACACCACATGACCATTTAAAATGAATTAGTGATGGTTAGAAGGTGCTTAAAATGGTGAAGAAAGGAATGCTTAACTTTTGATTATACAATCCTATAAATTTTAACTTAAAAATACATTTTGATCAAATAAACATGTATAAACAAGTTCAAAGCTCATTTAGTAAAGTTCCTGCATGAACAAAACCACACTTGACCTGTAATTGTATAACAGGCTTTTAAACATTCGTTTGCTCACCTGTACGCAAACATCAAGTGCAGCTAAACATGTAGCTGTCCTGTCTGTGCTGTTTGTTTACACAGTTTAAACTGGAAAAGAGTATGTAAAAGCTCCATAAACCCATGCTGAATCCACAATTCAATTTGTTAATGATCTAACAGAAGCAGATAATGGAGAAATTTAGCATAGATACACAATAGATTGTTTTGCATTATACAATGACATAAATGCTATATCCCAGGGCATCAAAATAACAATTCAGATTCAGATTATTTTGTAATAAAGAACAATTCTTGTATTTTGTAACATATTCACCTAAAAGTATTTATGTAATTTGGTTGGTACAAATTGAAAGAATAATAAGTTTACATAGTTTAATAATACAGAAAATAATAATATAGATTAGATCATATAGATTATTACTATTATTATATGTTAGTATCATTTTATATCATATATGTAATGTGTGTGTGTGTGTGTGTATATATATATATATATATATATATAAAAATGTATACACATATACTGTAAATGTTATATTTAATTATAAAGAAATTAATGATTGTAATAAAATACTAACCCTAATATATGTCATATACTCAAAAATATCATTTACTCAAAAACAGTGCTGTAATGTAAAAAAAAAAAACAGTGCAATAAAGCAGTGTGTAAAATAATTACAAGTCTTTTCATCATATTTAATATGCAAGTAAAAGCTCAAAGTAATCTATAATCATGCATACTGTATAATCTCCCAGATATTTAACCACTTGGTTAAGAACTGGGATATCTGAATAGCTTATAGTTTTAAGTTTGAACACAAACTGTCTTTGTTTCCCTGCAGAACCTCCAGGATGCATCTGTTGTTCGTGCTTCCCTTGGTGCTCGAGGTCCAGTCCATCTCCAAGAGCCACAACTTCACCTACGACTGCACCTGCCACCTGGAGATCAAACTCGCCAACTGCACCAGCAGCAATTTCACCCACCTGCCCGCCGCCCTTCCACCCTTCACCGAACAACTGGACCTGTCCCTCAACCACCTGAGTGCCATCCGGACCCAAGCCTTCCACAGCACACCAAGACTTCGCGTCCTGCTCCTGAACGACAACATGATTGCCATGCTAGCCAACGGAGCATTCTTTCTTCTAGAAGGACTGTTGAGGTTGGACCTAAGCCGAAACCGAATCTCATTCCTGAGTGAAGGATTTTCACGGGGTCTCGGTTCCCTTCGAGATCTGTCACTGGCTGAGAACCGATTGAGCAGCTTGGACAGCAGTTGTTTCGTCCACTTTGACGCCCTCCAAAGACTCAACCTCAGCCATAATGCTATAGAGACCATCAAGATGAGAGCGTTTGGGTCCATGAGTACCCTACGCCAGCTACAACTCAACTCGAACAATTTAACGGTTCTCAAAAATGGCATCTTCTCCATGTTACGAAACCTCGAAGTCTTGAATTTACATCACAACCAGATACACTACTTGGACGTCGGCGTGCTTTCGCCATTGACCAGTCTCGCTCTACTGGACCTCACCAACAACAACCTCTCCACGATTCAGTTCAAGACCTTCCTAAGTCTCAACACGTACAGCACTCACATAATGCTCCAAGGAAACCCATGGGATTGTGACTGCGATCTGCAGCGAGTCTTCCGGAAGCTCTGTAACGTCAAGCGGCTGTTCCTGGATGACTATGACAACCTCACCTGCGTGAATTTGGACGAAAGTCACAGAAACTACACGATGAAAGAGGAGTTCTGCGTTGCAGAGATGGTTACTGTCCTGGTCATCACCATGACGGTGGTCATCACTGTTGTGGCTGCCATCGTCATGGCAGAGAAGAAAAGGGAGAAAAAGAACAAAGAAAAGCATTGGACGGAAGTCGGCGAGTTGTCGTGTGCATCGCAAGCCTGAACCAATGGCCTTAATGCAAAAAGGAATATTAATCTTGCATTATACTTGTATGTATATGCTTTAGGTTGTCGAATTCAGGGTTTCTGAACGTAAATGTAAGACTTTTTAAGACCAAGTAAAGAATGGAACACAATTCGTCAATATGGTCTCTAAATGTAAATGTCTTGTATTAGCAACGCTTCAAAGTTTGTAAATACAATTTCCAACAGACCTTCATTGCTTTTTATTTCAATGTTATTTCATATTTCAGTAGATCTGCTCCCAACCAATAGAATATGGAAATAACTTTTACTGTACCTTCTGATCACACTGCAAAAAAAGTAATGCTCTTCATCAATAATTTTGTCTTAAATCAATACTTGAGATGCAAAATTACCTAAAATTGTTACTATTATGAGAAGTTGATCAAAATGAAGTAAGCTGACATTAGCAGATATTTGTCCTTTTTTTAATGTCAGCTTAATACAAAGGGAAAACAAGTTTCCAAACCCCATTGACTGAAGTTTGTTTTTGTTTTAAGCATAAACTCACTTAATTTTGTTCAATTTCTCAGAAAACAAGACTTTATGTGTTCAATTTGCATCTCAAGTAAATTGATGTTTTAATTGATGAACATTTAATGCCATGACTTTATGAATTTAGGACTTAACTTGCAGAAGGGCAAATTGAGGCTAAAAAACCACAAAAACTCTGTCAAATTCTTAATAATTGGTAAAAAATAAAAAAAAATCAATTTAATGGTGGGGTCAAACGCAAATGGAAGGTCTAAAATGTTTATTACAAGTATGACTTAAATACAGGAACTGACAGGCGGCAGGAGCATTCATTCTGAAAATAAAATATCTCTATTTAGCCAACACACACCACACAGTATATACTCACTTGTAATGAACATAAACGTTCTGCGAAGAGAAATAGCTCCAAGATGAATGAACAAGAAATGAATGCTGAAATGTTTGGCGTTCACCATATATGTTGAAATGAATATTAAAGCCCATATGTTTACACAAGATGGCGATAAATAGCTATTTTTGTGTGTTTGTGTAAGAAGAGAAACAGTGGAGTGGTACATTGACCAAATACAGAAACAACACACTGTTATGATTGCAAATAAATAATTATAATTTTAAATTTCATAATTATTATAAAACAATAATCTTCCATTTAATAAAAATAGATATTTATGATATAATGTCCAAATAGCATCAAACATACATTATAAAATGATGGAAAGCAAGAGCATATATATAAGTTAACAACTCTAAAGCAAACAAATCATTTATGAAGACTGCATGTATATTTTTTCACACCTTTTTAATGGAAATTTCTATATAGAAAGTGCATTTACAAATAGAAAGAGAGGAAGAATAAAAGTAAGAGCTCCTCTTCTTTTTCAGTTTTGCTTCCACTCATTTAAGGAGGGCAAAAAGACCTCATCTAGGGTTAATCCAGGTTATCTGGGACATTTTTCCTGTCACCTCAATGGAAAAAAGTATCTGATTTACCCGAATACCCCCTGTGCATTTCTGATGAGATCTCTAAGGGACAGACTCGCATGTAGAGAGAGGGCTCATTGACAGACACATCTTATGCACTACTTTTCGAATGCACTTTGTATTTTAAATCCACTGAACTTTATTCTTCTGATGAGTAATATTCTTCATCAGCAGCAGATCTCTGGTCTTAACCAGTCTCAGATGGCCCAGCAGCCTCAGTCTTCAAATGCCTGCCATACGACTGCGTGCAAGTCGATCATCACAGGCTTCACTAAATGGATTTCAGTGGTGTGGCTCTGGATCATGTAGTTTTCGGGCTCATCTGGTTCTTCGAGAAGAAGACTTCTTATAGGCCACTTCTTCGGCATATTGAAGTACAAGACCCGATATTCACGTGGAGGTACTTTTGGGGGTAACATGTCCCACCACTCCCGCTTCTTTCTGAATAAGCCTTTAAAGTTCTTCCATTTAAATATGCTCTTTTCCCCACGCAGTGTGACTCGGGTCTTATTTTTGTCCTTAAACTCTTCCCTCCAGTCAGGTTGATAGCCTGGCATTATGATAAACTCTCTTCGAAGGAAGTTCTCGTGTCTTTTGAACCTCCCATACCATGTGTCAAACTTCTCACGCTTTTCTTTTAGCAGTTTTTCCCACATTTTGCCTTTTGTTGCATTCACTCTAGCACAAAACAATCACGGTTGAGGAACTCCAGAACTCGCCACGATGGACTGGAGGTTTGCGCGGCTTTATATATGCGAGTTCTAAAAATTACGTGATCTCATTATGACGTCGCAGGGACGGAAACTGAATCTATGTGCGCATGCGCGGTGCGTTTGGCGCCTTTAACAAAGAACATAGGCCTACTTTTAAGGTCTTCTATACTCTTTGCTTTTAACGAGAAACAGAAAAAAAATGAACAAGAATGATCTAATACTGTCTCGTGTGCAGTGAAAAATACAATGTAAATTTAAAATGAGAACTGCTAGGTAAGGTGTAACGTTAGTATGTAACTTTTGACATAACTTCTTTGACTCGCGTGTGTTTTGAGGTTGTGGTTAGGACAGTCATTCACTGCTTCATTTTTAAACGTTAGATCGATTAAGAATCATAGATGAGTGAGAAAATCAAAAACAGGACGTGCTTGATGTTAAAAAGAGTCATTAAATGCTATAAATTCACGAAAACGCCCAAAGCACGTGCACAGAGAGCCCTGACGTCAGGGTGACGAGTTTCTTTCACAGCTTAATGCACATAATGGTCAAAAAACACAAAATTATATACAACATAAATAAATAAAGCCCTTTGTTGGCGAGTATTCATGTCGGTTGTGTCTTAAACGAATATAAACAGTTGGTAAATAGTGTATCTTGAGACGTATGCAGTGCACTCATATTACATACTGGGCATTTTCGAAGATTGAATTGATCTCAGTTTTCATCTCGGAACTAAATATGGTTATTTTGGATTTGAATCCAGTTTTGTGCGCATCTACATAACTAGAACAGTTATGGATAATGGCCTGCACTCTTGTCCTCCCATGTGCAGGTACCCCAGTACGTCTGATCTGGTGATGGCACTGGTTCGGGACTCAGAGAAGACTGAGAACATAATCATCATCGCACGCGAGGGGATGCTCTTCATCCAGCTGATCCAAAAGAAACGGGAGGTGGCGATGAATCAGTGTGGTCATGGCTGACTTCAAAACCCTGGCAGATGTGCTGGCGCAGGAAGTCATCAAACACGACATTGGAAAACAGGTGATAGCCTGGCATTATAATTAAAGGTGCAATAGGTGATTGTCTTCAGAAACATTTTTTGTTATGCTCTGCTGACTACAGAACCGGCTTTTTTAACAAAATGCGCATGACAATCGCATTCGATTAATCGTGCAGCCCTAATCCCTACACAGTGTTCATTGCTCCCTACTCCCTGAGCGGGGGAAATCCGTTGAAGTTTACTTCACTTCGGAACATGGGCTGGAATTGGGAACCTGATGTAGCCTATTGTAGTAATGTTGTCTCTGGTCTGTGAGCGTAAATGCGTTCGGGGGCGTGGCTTTGGACAGCGATTGCAGGGAGGGTGGGACGTTCGCTTTCAGTGCTATCAGGCTAAAGTTAGCATTTTCCAAGATCTCCTACAGCACCTTTAACTCTCTTTGAAGGAAGTTCTCGTGTCTTTTGAACCTCCCAGAATAGCTCAAAACTCGCAATTGTGAGAAAAAGTCAAAATTGCACGTTCAGAATCCCAATTTTGACTATTTCTCACAATTGTGAGTTTATATCCTGTAATTGACCCTTCGCAAAGACCCGCCCCCCTTAGTTACTGTTAAGTGAGTGAGTGTGAGTGACGTGACATGTGGCCAAGTATGGTGACCCATACTAGGAATTAGTGCTCTGCATTTAACCCATCCAAAGTGCACACACACAGCAGTGAACACACACACACTGTGAACACACACCCGGAGCAGTGGGCAGCCATTTATGCTGCGGCGCCCGGGGAGCAGTTGGGGGTTCGGTGCCTTGCTACATGTAAATGCAGTGGGCAGCCATTTATGCTGCGGCGCCCGGGGAGCAGTTGGGGGTTTGGTGCCTTGCTCAAGGGCACCTCAGTCGTGGTATTGAAGGTGGGAGAGAGAGCGCTGTACATTCCCTCCCTCCACCTACAATCCCTGCCAGTACGAGACTCGAACCCGCAACCTTTGGGTTACAAGTCCAACTCTCTAACCATTAGGCCACGACTTCCCTGGCCACGACTTCCCCACGACTTGTTGCTACGTCTGACAAGCTATGCCGCTCTCACGCCACACACCATGTTCTCACACAGTGAAAAATACATCGCGGAGCAAAGAGGAAACTGACAACGTGCCAACAGACAAGACAGAGCAGGTTACTTTTTGTATTAAACAAAGTCTCGCTCTCTCAGCTTTCAAATTTAAACTTTTTTTTACAAATTCAAACAATAAATACCATTTTGTGGCTCTTTAATGTGTCGTGACAGATCGCTGTAGAGCCTCAGTTCAAGCGGCACATAAACCGATCATCTTTTCCTCTTTACTATTTACAGCACGAAATAAACATGAACGAACATCAGAAGGTATCTTGTTTCAACTGCGGAAAGATTCACAGATTACACACCATGTTTCAAGTTCAAGTCCACCGACGTTAATCTACTCTCCTGTCTGGTTTGTTTGTCGGACAAAATGGCAAATTCCGCGTTATGATTGGTCAGATCGCCTGTCCATCAAACTACCAGTGAAGGGTCAATTCTGAGAAAAAAAGACGCAATTACCTTTTAAATTTTTTATTCAGTGGTGGAAACGGACTTCCATAGTAACATGTCCCACCACTCACACTTCTTTTTAAATAAGTATTTGAAGGTGTGCCATTTGAATGTACTTGTTTGTTTTTTTTCCCACGCAAAGTGACCTGGGTCTTGTACTTGTACTTAAACTCATCCCTCCAGTCATGAGGATAACCTGGCATTATTATAAACTCTTTTTGAAAGAAGTTCTCATGTCTTTGGAACCTCCCATATCAAGCGTCGAACTTCTCATGATCTTCATTTAGTTTTTTTTTTTCTCCAAATTTTGCGTCTTGAAGTGTTCACTCTATCAGAAGAAATCACAGTAGAGGAACTCCAGAACTCGCCTAATTTGTAGGAAACCATAAATATTACTTACAGAATGTCTGTATGTGATGTGCCCTTCAGG